GTTACACAAAGTGAGCAAACTCTTCCATTGTTCTCACTGACCTCTGAGATAACAATTTATGGCTGGCACAGACCAGTGTGGGCAGGCTTCTCTGTTCAGCAAGCTCCCGCAGGAGTAAGGCTTTGGCACCTTCACCTCAACAGAAACTGAAGTGAAGCAGAAAAGAATGACCAGAAATCAGGAACATCTGTGGAACGACTTAGTCTGAGTAAGTCCAACACTCTCATTCCAGAGGTAGAACAAAGAGCAAGGTTTTTCTTTCTCTAAATCACGCTAGAAGTAAGAGAAAACCAAAAGCAAGCAGCTATAGCCTCACATCCCCCCTAGATAAAGTAGGAAGGAAAAGAGGACTCTGTCCCAGGCAAGAGCAAAGGTTCATAGCTTCTCATCACTGGGGTGCCGAAACCTGCGGGAATTCGGGCATCGGGGAGGGACTTGGGTGTGCTCCACCAGCCGATCCCAGCGCACCGAGGAGCACAGGGGTCCCACCACATCTTAAGTTTGGAAGTTCAGGTGGCTGGTGGTCATAGCTCTCACAGCCAGGCATTCATGGGTGCTCACCCATAAACAACCCACCAACCCTTCCAAATTATATTGCTCAAAGCCAGTTCCACTTTAACACTCAAACATAACACATTTGCTTAGTCAAAATTTGCACAATAATCAAAATGAATCAATTTGCTTTTACTTTAAGGCCCTCGGGCTTTAACAAATTTAGTGGACAGTCTAGTAACAAAGGGTGAAAATTTTACTATATTTGCTTGGAGGACCAAGCTCCAAAAGGGAACTGTCCCAAGAAGTCCTAATACACACAGTGATGAGGCAGGCTTGATTTAAAAGCACACGAGGCTGTGAATTCAATCAGTCACCACTGGAGAGAACATATTTAAAATACTTTAGTCAACACCATCCTCTCTTCTTTCGTTTTGAAATTCCACACCATTTTATCCAGGCCTTTCTTACTGTGTTCTAGCTTATATAGAACATATTACATTCTAACTTATATAGTTACGTATGTATACGGACCATCTCCCTTCAAGATTGTTAAGTTTCCTGAGGGCAGGATCTACATCTGAGTTACCTCTTTTTCACCTAAAGCATAGAAAGGGCATAAAAACAACATAATAAATACTCATCATTAGTTGACTAAGCTCAAAAAATGTTAATAAGTCTCAATGTACAAAAGTCCCTGGGAAACTGAGAAGTAAAAAGATGATTTCAAGGTGCTGAATTAAAGAGATTTAAAAATACCACGTTTTAAAATGCAAAGTATTATACAATGCATGGTTTTTTAAAATCCTATATTAAATGCTACAGGGATTTAGAAGAGAGAACATAATCAGGAAACCAAAACAGGATAGAGATTAGTAGTCAGAGTGATGGTAAAATGCCTCCCTTTCCAAACACAAACACACACACTAGCACAAAGAAAGTACTAAGAAGCTAGAGAACATTGGTTTAAAAAAAACTCCGTACTCAAATATGAAAATGTGGGAAGTTCCAAGCATTTAAAAAAAAAAATAAAAAAACTTATTTGTGAGTGTTGTACGTTGATGTGGTTGCAGTTAACCATCATACTCTTTAGAATCAAGCTCATTACCAAGGAGGCTACACAGTGGTCTAGGAATCTCAGTTAACTTCTCCCCAACCTGTGTGTCCCTATGGGATTAAGAAACTCAAGAGAATTCAAGACAATAAAAAGCCTTTCTATTCCTTCTCAAGTTTCTAAACCATGGCTAACAGCAACTATACCAAAATCAACAATTACACAAACCTCTTGATATGGGGGAATATCCTTTGCTTATATTACTTAAAGAAGAACAATGAAATAAAAAATGGCTTACATACCCATGAGTAGGAAAAGAAAAACATTGTCATAAACACAATGCCAAATTAGTGAGGCCCGAAATTAATAAGGATTATGGGTTGAATTGTGTCCTTCAAAAAGATACATTGAAATTCTAACCCCTAAGACCATAGAATGTGACCTTATTTGGCAATAGGGTTTTTACAGAAGTAATCAAGTTAAAATGAGGTCATTAGGGTGGGCCCTAATCCAATATGACTAGTGTCCTTATAAAAAGGGGAAATTTAAACATAGAGACAGACACACCGGGAGAACACCATGTGAACATGAAGGCAGAGATCAGGGCGACGCGTCTACAAGCCAGGAGTGCCAACGACTGCCAGCACACCACAGAAGCCAGGAGAGAGGCATGGAATGGATCCCTCCTTACAGAACCAACCCTCAGAAGGAACCAACTCTGCCAACACCTTGATCTTAGATCTAGCCTCCAGAACTGCGAGACAATAAACTTCTGTTGTTTAAGCCACCCAGTCTGTAGCATTTTGTTTCGGCAGCCCTAGCAAAATAATACAATGAGGTTCATGGCAAAATCCAAACTTGACACCCGTAAATCAACACATATACATAAAATGCTTACCAATCGAAAATCAGTGAGATCTCTACAAATGCCAGGTAGCTTTACTGCAAGATAATCATAGCTGCTCTTGGGGAAGAAGCTAGAGATAGTGTTTAAAGATAGAGGCAGAGACGCAGACATCTACGGGAGCGTGGTGAGGAATAATGGAATGGGGATCCCAATATTTAGCTGGCTCTTTAAATTATGTAGCACATCAGGGGACCCACCAGACAAACTCAGCTCTCAAGTGTTGCTAGATGGCACACAACTGTTGTTGTCTGGCCTGACCTTGCCACCGTAAAGCAAGCAAGCAAGCACAGGCAGCCTGTCATCTCTTGAAGCAGGTAAGTGGTCAATGGCTTTCATCTCCAGCTGGAGGAAATTAAATACTACATGTGACCAGCAGGCTTGAAAATGCTTGAGAAATGTTGACAAGATACATTTAGACCTGCTGGAGTGAAAAGTATTAACTGTCCAGAACTATCCTTTTCAAAGAGTGCAGGTACTTAAAAAGGCAGTCTTTCTTTTATTCAGGCATAATATAATAAATGAAGAATTTTTCAACTATCTCCAAGATTTTGACATAAATCTTGAAGTTAAGCATTTAATAGAGTTATTAACTTGCATTTGGAAATCAGCTGAGCAAATCTTTTGTGGCAAGGCACTTCAAAGTGATTGGTTTGTTTCCTTATAATGAAATAGTATGTTTGCTTCTGTTTGATTCACAATTAAAACAAGTCAGAGCATATGTGAGAACCATCTGGAATATTCAATGAAGATCAAGTCTTTCCAAAGAAGGCCTTATTCTGTGGAAGCAATATAGTGTAATGGTTAGGAAAAGAATGGCTTCAAACCAGATACACATGAGCCAAAACAAGCTTTGCCACTAACCATTTGCATGAACTTGGACAAGTGGCCAAATCTCTCTAAGCACCAGGATTCTTGGTCTGAGAGGATAATAATAGGATCTTCTTATAGGGTATGTGAGGAGTAAATGACACAATGGATATACCATATTTTATATAAAATAAGTGCTTAATCCTGTGTAGTTATCTTCATATTACTAACATTAGAGGTACAAGTAATTTTTATACAGTAGAGTACTAATGATTTTTCTTTAGGAAAGAATATAAAAACTTCAGACACAATCCTTATTGAAATTAACTCAACTACTTAGATCATTACCATGACATTTCATAATGCTCAAGCAACATAGTAAAGTCATTAACAGTGCTCTAGATTTGTTTTGCTTTTTATTCATCATTTTTATTTTTCATTCGAATTTTGAAAAAAGACTTTTTTTTTAAAATATCTAAGATCTCAAAATTAATACTACTACTTTGGCTTATAGCATCTCTGCATTTCCTTACTTAAATATCTTTCTGCATCAGGAAAATTCCTTCATCTTCTTAACTTAAAAACCATGAACAAAGGTATAAGACTACATTCCAGAAAAGCCAAAGATTACCTAAATTAGCACATAGTCAAAATTTCTAATTATGTGTTTAGAATGATCCTTCAGAGAATTTTCTTCTATATCTTTTTATTAAATTACTTAGCTTGGAATTTCCTATTTTTTATAATGACTTAAAAAAGAGACAAAAACAGGGATAGGGTAGAAAATTATTTTTCAACATTATTTACTAATGTTATTAAGGTAAAACAAGGCTTGTGTCTCCTGAAGTTATTTCAGAAATAGCATTAAGTTTTCTACAAGCTACATGTCACCGAATACAGTAACTCTGTTCTCTTAATAAGGGAGAGGGAAGAGGTCTATCAGAAACATATGGGGTCAAGCTTTTTAAGAATCCAAATCTGTGCCCTGATCCCCAGACAGCATGGGGGGAAGAGGAAAATGGGGGAAGGAGTTGTTTCTCTATGTGGAAATATATGCAGCATGATGCCAAAGCAAATGGGTAGGAAGAAAGAAAGAGTTTGCTGTTTTCAAATTAAGTGACTTCTGAAAGATGGAGTAAAAGCTCAATTTAAAAAGACGTCAAGAGGGCCAGCCCCAGTGGCCTAGTGGTTAAGTTCAGCGTGCTCTGCTTTGGCGGCCCAGGTCCAGTTCCCAGAAGCAGACCAACACAGCTCTGTTAGCGGCCATGCTGTGCTGGCGGCCCACATACTAAAAGATAGAGGAAGACTGGCATGGATGTTAGCTCAGGGCAAATCTTGCTCACCAAAAAGAAAGACGTCAAGAATGGCCAACATATTTGGCTTTGTCAAATCAGTACTCTTATTCTTAAGCAAACACTAAGCTTCCATTGAGAAATTAATCACGTTATTCACATGGAAACTAGTTCGAGGGTCCCAACTCCAATGAGAGAAAGGGAAAACAAAGTTGGGGGGAGGGGTAGGACACAAAAGATAAATTCGATAAGTCTGCAAAACTGTTTTCTAGCAGGGAAACTAATTCCACTGAATTTTACACCTGTCAAAAAACAACAACAACAACAAAAAACCTAAGCGGGGATATCTATTGCATATTAAATGAGAATTATTTAAATATACCATTACTTACTATTAAGAGAGCAGGTACATTTTCCACGTGAAATATTCAAAAATTAACGAACTTACTTGCTTTTCCCTTTGTATACTGTAGCATAAGATCCTTCCCCTAGTTTTTCCAGTTTTTCATATGAGTCAGCTTTTCCAAATTTGGGACTTGTTGGCTAAAAATGGAGCAGAGGGTAAACAAAACAGTTTGTATCAAACTAATGAACAATAAATAACCTGATTTTGCTGAAAATGTACAGATTCTCTGTCACTTTTTAAATAACACTTTCCTGATATAAGAATGTTTATTTTAAAAAACAATATTATAAATATTAAGCGTATAAAACTCAAATGCAAATGAACACAGTGTAGAAGTGTAAATTTACCCATAATCTAACCATAAGGAGGGAACCACCATTAATATTTTGATATCTCTTCCTCCAGTGCTATATGTATGCTGATGATTGGTTTTTTTACATGAATGGGATTACATTATACATAATGTTGTATAGCCTGCTTTTGTTCACACTCAATATATTATGAATATTTTCCATGTAATTATATATCTTCTAAATTAGGGGCTGGCAAATTGAGTCTCCTACCTGTTTTTGTACATCCCATTAGCTTAGACAGATTTTTACTTTTTTTTAATGGGGGGGGTGTCAAAAGAAAAAAATTTCATACCATGTGAAAATTATATGAAAGTCAAAGTTTAGGGTCCATAAAGTTTACTGGAACACAGTCCCACTCATTCATTTACATATTGTCTTATAACTTCTAAGCTACAACAGAGTTGTAGTTGCAACAGAAATCATATGGCCAACAAAACTGAAAATATTTACTATCCAACCCCTGTTGTAAATAAACTATGACTGTATAAAGTTCAGTCATATAAAGGTACTCCTTCAATACCTTTTAGTGATAAAGCAAACAGATTTTCAAAGATGTATCATTCAGATATCACTAATTAATACAAAAGGAACTCCCTTACATCTACATAAACCAATCCTTAAGGTTTAGCTGCAACAAAATAACTCTTCCTTAAAAAATGGTATATCCTATCATGACCACAAAAGTGTTAAGAGAGACCTTATCACTCTTGCTGTGCTCAACTCCCACCCTAACTTTCACCAGAGAGCAAGAAAAGGGGGGCATTGTCCTCCAAGGGGACAAATTATCTATTATTTCAATGTCACTCTAAAAGGGTAATACTAAAACATATTAGAAAATGATAATTACACAAGGAATTAAAAGCATCTTGAAGAGATTTATCTGATCACAGTTGTAAGTACATATATAATTGATAAAAAGTTGCTAATGAATGTGTACTTTGTTAAGTAATCAACTTTAGAAGTTACTTAGGGAAAGAACTTCCTGCAAAAAGTTTATAGAACACTATTCTTGAGCATATGCTAAAACACAACATACCAGCAATGAATCTGACTCCCATTGTTTATAAAGATTCTATGTGGCAAGTTAAGCACATGCTTCTTACCTCCTTCCCACCCAAAATTGCACGTAGTAACTGAAAAGATATTTTTCAAAAACTAATAAATCAGGAACAGGAATGAGAAATTAAAAAGAGTGCCGATATATAATCAGAAATTTTGAGGAATTCTGAAAGACAGAAAGTAATCAGGACCAAAACTTCAGAGAAAAGACCGGGGGGACCTAAAGCCCAATATGTAGGAGTAGACTATTACAGATAACAGAAGCAGGAGCCTCTAAGTAAATATGAGACTGATCAACACAGCTGAGCATGTGGTGTCCCCCCAAGCAAACTGCAGGGACATTTGCACAGAGGAGACAGTTGAGAAGGTGGGTATTCAGTCTAGGGGAGCAGAGCAAAGACTGAAGAAGCCAATACCCAGAGAAAGAATAACATCCCCCCATCCCCAAGCTGTAATACCTGCCTCTCTCATACAATCACTAGAGGCAATTTACAGAAAACAGAATAAGCTGACAGCAATTCTAAAATATAAAATGAGTATACAGGGCTGGCCCCGTGGCTTAGTGGTTAAGTGCGTGCGCTCCGCTACTGGTGGCCCAGGTTCGGATCCCGGGCGCGCACCGACGCACCACTTGTCCGGCCATGCTGAGGCCGCGTCCCACATACAGCAACTGGCAGGATGTGCAACGATGACATACAACTATCTACTGGGGCTTTGGGGAAAAAAAGGAGGAGGATTGGCAATAGATGTTAGCTCAGAGCCGGTCTTCCTCAGCAAAAAGAGGAGGATTAGCATGGATGTTAGCTCAGGGCTGATCTTCCTCACAAAAAAAAAAAAAAAAATGAGTATACAACCAAAAATCACAAATCATTTCAGGAAAATCAATACCTTGAAAGAGAAGCATAAAATTCAATGGGCAGATAAACTAAAACCCTGATAAGAGAGTCGACATTGCAAAGGTAAGAAGAAGTTTGAATAAAAATAACTAGTATCTTCAGAGAGATTTGGAAAGATATTACATCCTTTAAAAAGAAACAATTAGAAATTAAATATTTAATCAGTGAAATCAAACATTTAGTGGGCAGTGAATAAAAGAAAGGACACAGGTGAAAAAGTAATAAGTTCAATGTTTGAAAAGAATTCTCCCAGAAAACGTTGGGGAGAGATTACACCTAAACAAAAAAATTATCCAACAAGCATAATATTTTTATAGACAACAATGGCTGATAAAAAACAAGCAATATTTTCAGAATGAAAAGGGAAAATGATTTTGAATCACTAACACTGTACTCAAGATAGTTCCTCAAGTGAGATAGAAAAGCTGCAATTTTACCACCCACAGAAAAATATCCAGATATAAAATTAGATATTATCTCAATACAAGACACAGTTGAAGTGATGGGGAAACGCAGGAGGGTGAGGAACAGGAGGAACAGAGAAACAAAAGCATGCTGAGATTTACTGGATTGATCAGGACAGACTGCAGATACCGATGAACTCCAAATGCATAAGTTTTAGTATGTTTCTTAACTCTTAAAAGGTAATCAACTAGAATAACATAAATAACATGTACAAATCCCAAATAAATTAGGGGGGAAGGGAATGGAAGAAAAAAATTGCAAGGAAGAAGGGGAAAGAAGGTAAGGAGTGAGAGGTTAGAGGATGAGGGGGTACTCAATAAGAAAGCACGTTAAGTAAAAAATCATGAAATAAGAAGGCAGTTAAGTCCAAACATATCAATGATTACAATAAACATAAATGAACAAACTTCCTCTATTAATAGAAAGTTCTCAGTTTGGAAAAAAAAAAGAAAATCTAGCAATATGCTGTTGAGAAGAGACAAAATTAAAACAAAAGAGGAAATCTGAAAATAAAGGAGTAAGGGGAAAATATAGCAAAAAAAATATTTTTGCAAAGAGTTTTGAAATGTATAAAACAACTGCTGGTAGCAATAAAATGAGAAACTATCAAATCCACAGTGATGATGGGAGACAAACATACATTGCTCAGACATCAACAAAACAATAAGACAACTAATAAGTAATGTATATATGGGCTTGAATATTAGAATTAACATCTTAGTTTAATATACATATTAACATATATTCTTTTCAAGTACACATTTAACATTCACAAAAATGACCATAGATTAGGCCACAAAGAAAATCTCAATATTCAAAACTGCAGAATCATTTCAAATTATTTTCTGAATATGATGCAATAAATTAGAAATTAAGAATAAAAGGAAAACTAAATAGCTTAGCCACATGGGTTAAATTGAAAATAAAAATTGAAAATTCATAAATAAATATGTGACAATGAGGAGATGACATTTTAAGACCCATGGGATGCAGCAAAATCAATACATAAAAGAAAATTTAAATATATATGTACATACTAGAAAAGAAGAAAGGTTGAAAGTAATATGATTTAGACATTTAACTGTAGCTAGCCAAGGAAAAACAAAGGACACAGTAGAAAGGGATTAATAAAGAAAATAGACCACCTACTCCTTTCTTCAAGAAACTTGTTAAGTACAAACCATGTGTTATGTTGAATCAAGTAAAACTTAATGGAAAATTACATTCAAAATCGCCTGACTAGTCCTGTGTGGGTTATGTTCTCATGAATTTTTCATCACTGGGAAACAGCTTGTGAACGTCGCACTTTACCATCACCCTCCTGAGCCCAAGTTTTAAATGGAAATTTTAAAACCTATATTAAACTTCAGTATAAAATGATCTTCAATGGGGAAAATATTGTGTTCACAGTTCCACTCTAAATTATTTAAAATCAGAATGAGAAGTCTGTATGTTTGCTTTTGCACTCCTTTAAGATAAATCTAATCTAAGTTAAAGAAAAAAGCAGCAGCAGAAAATTACCTCTTTACTCCTATCAGGAGATAAACTGCTAATGTGTACTTAGAGCAAGTACAAGGCACAGTCACACAAAATCGGTAATAGAATAGGAAGCTAATATTTTCTCCTCCTGGAAAGGCACAAATAATTTTCTAAAAATGATATATTTCACTCTTCATAAACTGCCTTTTATATAATAGGGTTGATGCAATCGTTTTAAGACACAGACCATATTAAACTTACTACTCCAAGAAACTGAATTGAGAAAATTAGAAAAACAAGGAGAATCTTTTTTAAAAAACACATCCCATTTATCCAGAAGAAAAATCAAGTAAGAGAAGATGCTAATGGCCCAAAGAGGTCTATTTATGCAATTAAATGGATTTGGGTGCATTAACTGCCATCGTTATTCTATTAACACTGTGATGGCATAAAATTAATATTTTGCCACATGTAGTGGTAAAACAATCAATGTTTTTGCCCTGTGAAACCGATACGTATACATTGTGGAAATAAACTGTAATTTACAGATCAATCATGCTAGCTCTGTAGGAAGAATCACACACATGTAAAGCCTCTCTAAAGTTGTTCTAGTCTACAAAAGAACGGGCCTATAGAATCAGCCATATCTATGAGGTAGTCTGGGCTTTAAGAGTTAGATTCTTGTAAAGTTGGTCTCCTACTTTAAGCATGCAGAAATGTTCCAATCTGTAACTACTATGCACATCAAGTTTCTCAGTTTGGAAAGAAAAAGAAAATCTAGCAATATGCTACAGAGAAGAGACAAAATTAAAACAAAAGAGTAAATCTGAAAATAAAGGAGTAAGGGGAAAATATAGGAAAAAGTATTTTTGCAAATAGTTTTGA